CCTCCATTTTCTCAGCTTCGCCGACGCTGTCACTTCTGTTAAGGAGAGGGGAGTCACGTGACTACAGGTAGCGTAGCGTCTTAAAGGGATATGAGCATAGTTAAGATGACGTATTAGGGCCATTGTAGATAGACAAAAAGGAGCAAATTTCCGCCAAAAAACAAACTCAGAAATTTTCTAGAAAAAAGCAAGGACATTTCTGAGTTTGTAAAGTTGAAAATTTGCGAGAAAAAAAAATGTTTAGATTAATCTCAGAAATTGTATAGGGAAATTTTGAAAACGTTTGACTTTTGGAAGGTTTAATTTTCGGTTATCGCTCACGTCTATCTTTAGGTCTCGGGTTACCTCTCTTCCCCACTAAAGGCAAATGAAAGATTTCAGGAAGAACATAATTTAAATTCACATATATCAGCAAGCAATCTGGCTTTTGTGCTATTTCTATCAAAACAGTTATGCAAAAATAAAAAAACGGGAGATTATATTCAGTCCAATCAAGACAACTAAAGCAGATATTTCTTCCATCTGAAATAGTCTAACTGATTTTTAAGCAGTTTTACAGATGTTATGATTTTTATTTTATTTTATTGAGTTTCACTCGACGTTTAGCTGAGTTAGAGTTGAGTTTACTCGCAGGCAACAGGTGATGAATCTACAGGATAAACAGCAAGAGCTGGGGATATCTGGAGAGGAAGAATGCTGAATCCTTGGCAGCCGGACTCGCCTCCGGGATCCAAAATGCTGGTCCGGCCTGACAGGAGGATTTTGATGCCGCTCCACCATCGTTTTTGGCCCACATCTATCTGTTCCAACAACTGGGCTGCTGCGGTTTGATTTTCTCAGCTGCCAGCATCTCTCTCTTGCTCTCTCGGTACTCCAGAGAAAGGCCACATCAACGCTCGGCGGACCTGATGACGTCCGCGGGCCGAGTGAAGGCATCCACTTTGTTTAAACAAGCCTGCGCTTGGAGCTGGAGGGGTAAACATGGCTGGACCACCAAGCCTGCGCTGCCTGCCTGGAAACGGCCTGGCACGGGCCGGGCCGGGCCGGGCCGGGCCGTATCATCTCTGTGACATCACTGAAGATCCTGCTCTCTCTCTCTGGGATCCTCTGAATGCAAAAGCAGCTGCTGACAGCAACAAACTGGGAAGCTGATATTTACTCTGAAGGGATGAACCCTGATCATGAATCAGAGCCCGGACAGAAAGCACATCCGGGTCATGAACACTTTTCTCTGAGACAACCTCCAGATCTTCCCAGCTAATTTAGGATCTAAAATCAAAAGACCATAAAAACTGGAAGCTGAAAATCCCCGTTTAGTCCGCTTTAATCGGACTCCAGCTCGTTTAGCTAGAAAGTAGAGGTGAGTAAAGTACCCAAAAATTATACTCAAGTAAGTAAAATGTAGCCTAAACAGTCCAAGTGCTTATAAAAAAAACACCCAGACATTATTTGGCAATAAGTTTGTGTGTTTTGTGCCTGAGAATGAGTCCTTTCTAAAACCTCCCAATTTTCTGCGGTTACTTAGCAACCTGAGACCCGTTACCTAGCAACTCAGGCAGAGCTACGACACAGCTGGTTTTACCGCTGTCAGCGTTTCAGTGTTGCCAGATTGGGCAGGTATCCACCCAATCTGGCTCCTTTTGAATATGTCAGCCTGGATAAAAACAACTTTGGGTTTGTTGTTAAAATTCAACAACATCTGGCAAGTTTCTATAAAGTGTTCATAGAAGAATTATATCAAAATAGCTGCCAGAATAACACAAAACCTGTACACTTTAATAATAGTGTCCCTGAACTCGTTTGTTTTTTGTTCATTTGTTTTGAAAAGTCTA